TCCCCTTTTGCATTTACATTCTTGAAAGTATCAAAAGCACAGAGACTTTGTATAAATATTCATGACAAGCAAAATCCCACTTCATCAGAGCACTTTTCTCATCTGGTCCCAGTAACACACCCRAGGGTGCTGCTCACTGTGTATTAATGGGCTGCTGGCAGAAGCAATGTTTATTATCCAAGGTCGGTTTAGCAGAAGTTAAAATTGAGAAGCTTCACTGAAACATCCCTGAGAGAACTTGGAGAGTTTGAAGAGGAGATATTAAGGTAGGTGGGTGCCAGATTGGGTTAGAGCTGAGACATGTGGGTCCCCTGTCCCATTTCCCATCACCTCCTGGCACTGCAGTGCCACATCAACCACTGCTGAATTGAATTTTGTCCAGGCTGTAACACCTCTTACCTTCAGCTTTGTGATATTGGTTTTAATATTCCATGGACAAATTCATACCGTGAAGGGATGGAACTTTACCCAAACTCTTTGTATGGGAAGTATGTTAAAGAGAGGTCACATGAAAATGAAAYTRWYSTGAAGTCATCCACACAAAGGTGAATATTCTCCAAGAGRTCGTTGTAATTCTGCAAATCCCACAGGCCAATCAGACTAGAACTTAAACAGACACCCTGAGGAAGATYAGAACAAAGTCATTCACCAGCCAGTATTGATTTATTGACTGCCCAAGTCTCTAGACAGTTGTTTCACACCTTGCAAAGWCCAAACCTGTCAGCTGCTGCTAACAGAGAGGAAAAAACAGCAGGAAGCWTTAACAGGACTTGATATTTCTTGGGGCTGAACTGCCTGGTTTTAAGCCAGGAATCCCTGCTGCCCAGAGGTGCAAGTCCCAAARCAAAGGAGCTGCCCAAGGACATCTGGCATCGTGCCCCTGCTTTCAGTAGCAAGGGATGGGCTGTGCAGTTCAGGGCAGATGTGATGCTTTATGAGCATCTTTTTTCTCCAGCTGGACAAGTTCTGACTGTAACTTTATAGAGAAGGACTAAAAAATACTGTCCTTGGTTCCCGAAAAACAAGATTTAAAAGTAAATATTAAGAAGAATAMAAATGGTGTCATGAATAATGGCTTACAAGACTGCCTGCATCCTGACCAGAGCTCATATTAAATGGTGAGGGCTAGGCTTTATTTTTAATTAATCTACATGAGGAAAGCATTTCCAGCAGGCCAAAAGAAATTGTCCTAATTAAAAGATGCAAGAAATGAAGGATGACTCAGTAAGAGCAAGCCAAGACACAATCCATCACCACAAGGCAGGAGACCTGAGCAGCATGGATGGTGTTCCAAACACATCTGCAGATGAGAGCAGATCTCTGCAGGTCTGGCTGCAGCTGGGGAGGGTGGAAACAGGGCCAGTCCTGCATTTTGGGCAGCTCCCTGCCACAGAAYCCCTCTGCTGCCTCCCAGCCCCTCWGCAGGAGCCTGGCAAAGGGRATTTCACTSCTCAGCCAGCTTGGCTTGTATTTGMTTCCACRACTAACCAACAGGCAGGGAGGTGAATGCCACAATTTCATAGCCAAGGCTGCCAGRCTGTGCTCAGGGTGGCTTTCAGATGGGAAGGGTTGCTGTTTCCTCTCTCCAGACCCTATAAATACTTTCCTTGGGACCTGCAAAAGCAGCTCTGCCCTTGCTTTGACCACAAATCTCTCAGCACTCCAGCGCTGGATGCCTCAGGCAGCAGCTCCCATTGCTCCCATTGCTCCCATTGCTCCCATTTCCCCTTGGCTGGGACTGGGCTGGGAACCCTGCAGTGCTGGGCAGCAGCCTGCACAAACTACAGCCTCAAGGAACTGGCATTTTGATTGAAAAAGGATAGAGGTTGCACAGGAGAAATAGCTTCTGGTGAAGGAAGAAAGTCAACAACTTGTCTTAATGACCTGAAAGGAAGGGGTCAAAAATGGGACTGTGATTCTGAATCTTATTAGAATGAGAAAATATTCATTAGCTTTGCCCTCTTTTAGTCCCTGTTCTGCATCTTTGTAGGKCACATACTCCTGAGTGAGGGATAAGATCTGCCAATGCCTGATGACAGCAGCACAAGAGCAACAGGAAAAGAAAAGAATCATTGCCTCAGTGATCATATAWCATTTTGGGAAGTGATTCCCTTCAATCTCTGGGAGGTTTTAGTGGCATATCAACGATATGCCTTCCCCATAGATGAATTTAAATAAAGTCAAATAGAAGGGGAGATTATAATCTAAGGAGCAAAATAACTAAAATGCTTCTGGAATTTGTGATGCCTGTAACAGCAGGGAAAAGGCCACTGGCTTCACGTCATTTGAGACAGAATTTAACACAAACCTGCAGTGTGATGRAGGGGATTTTGAAGAGCTTAAACAGTTAATGAACAGCTAACGATCCTGTTAATATACAACTAATGTTTACTATAATACACACTAATATTTAATTCCCTCACTAATGATTAATTATTGTGCTGCAAGGTTTTAATTAGGCTTGCACAGCAGGAGCAGGGGGATCTGGTGAGGAGATGAATTTCTGAGTGGAGTCGCTGCCCTGACTCCAGGCTGTTCTCCRGCAGCTGCAGGAGGGAGCAGGAGGGGAGGGTTTTTCCCCTGTCCATCCAAGTGGGTGCTACAGAGTCTGCTGCTGAAAACAAGCTGAGAGAAACCTGTCCCTGTGCCCCTGAGAGCATCCCACACTGGAGCAGGGCTCCCAGGCTGATTGTGCTGGTAGCCAGCATCCCTTCTGATGGAGAGAACTTTGGAGCAGGGATTGCAATAGCTCACTCCWATGTTTTCACTTGAAGATGAAAGCCTCAATCAAATTAAAAAGCTTAATTTTGGTTTTATCTGCAGTAACAGACTTTGGGCCAAATCTTCATCATGATTCCCAAATACAATTGAAAAATCGAGTTCATCCTGAAAAGAAGATTGTTGGGCTCATGTGTTTGGAAGCAGCACTGACTGGTTTTGTCAGTCATTCCTGCAGCCAGACAGGAAAGACAGACAGGAGCCCACACTCCTCCTCCCAACCCTGTATTTGCAGCCAGCCAAGTGACCCCGCAGCTCAGGGACTTTTCTTTTTGTCACAGATCTCTTGCCAGCCTTTAGGTGGTGAGACCCAGCAGGTTTGTTCCAGGGCAGCCTCTAAGGACCCCTGAGATCAGTGTGCAGCTCCCAGCCTTCAGGGAAAGGGTTATGGAGATCAAAATATGACAGGGAATGAACAGCAGACGCCTCAGCAGAAGCAGAATTCACTGCAGAATTAAAAGATACARCTTTTGTTGCACCTCTCTCCCAAAAGAGGGAGACTTTTGTGCTTACAAACACTCTGAAATGTATTTCATGCACCTGGTAAGGCCTGGCTCGGTCCCTGCTGCCATCTAGGCTTCACACCAGAGCCATGCTGGTCACGATGCTGCTGAGTCCCCATTTGTGCTGTGACAGGGATCATTGCAGGGTGGGTGATGGCAGAGACACCAGCACAGGGAGCTGCACAGAGCAGTGGGGGTTTGGGGTAAAACTGCTGCCATTTTCCTCCAGACAGGATGGAAGGGATGATATCACAGACCTGAAACACAGACTTTCAGAGCAGAACAGGGTGGGAGCAGGGGTCTGCAGGCAGGAAAGGTGTGGGAATTAGGGAGGGATTTGCAGTCACAGCAGCTGAGCTGCAGCATGGAGACTGAGCTGTGCATCCCCTSCCTGTGCCTCACCACACTTTGGGGTCAGTCACAGCCCGTGAGCTCTGAGTTTCACTGCTGAGCTGCTTAAATATTTAGAAAAATATTGGGGGGAGGGCCTCATGTTCTGCACCCATCCTAAAGGGAAAACAATGAGAAGGGGAGGGTGCAACTAAAAATATAAATAAATGAGAGRGAAAAATGTGTGTCAGCAGGCATAAGAGAACTGAATAGCCTTTTCTCAGCTGGAGTTACAGCCAGCAGCATGAACTGCTGCCTGTGAACACCTTCACCCTATGTGTGCTGGCTCAGAGCTAACCCCTGGGGTTAAACAGAGCACAGAGTCACCTACAGAGTCTGCCAAATGCCACCCCTCAGCCCAGATCCTGGCTGTGGCTCAGGGACAGCATCATGAGTAGGAATAATTGTGCCTGGTAATGTCAGATGATGCCCCAGCCTGCAGTAAACCCCGAGTCCCTGAGCCCCCCAAGCCCCTGGTGCTCTGAGAAGACAGAAAGTGCTTATTGCTTGTTGTTTCCTTGATTGATTGTTTTTTTTAGGAGTTTTTTCCTGGCTTTTAACTATAAAAGTTAAAATTAAAAAAGTTAAAAAGTTAAAAGTTTAACCTGCAGAGGGCTGCGAGGTGTTTCCCTGTATTTTTTCCATGCTTTAGAAAAATCCGTGGATRTGTCATAGGGATTTCCTGAAGGGAAAACACAATCCCAAAGCTTTCCCAAGCACAAACTGCTGCGGGTGGGAGAGAAGGGAGGTGGAGCCGTGGCTCTTGCTGCTGGTTGCAGGGGAAGCCAGCAGGTTGTGCTCATGAAC